AGCGCAATGAGTATCGGGTACGAGGCACATCAGTCTTTCTTACTTACAATGGGTTTGCTGATCCGGCCCAATGGCTTGCCTTGAATGTCTTTGTCCTCAATCACCTCCAGCCTTGGAAAGTGCGCCATTGGTGCACGACATTGGAGACTTGTGCGTCAGGCAAATTTCATGCCCATGTCATGCTCCAGTTCAAGTCCGAAGTTGATAGAACCGTTTCTGCTTTTGTTTTCGAAAGGCTTAAACCAAATGTCTCGCCAACGGACTTGTGTGGCGATGGTTTGTGCAGGAAGAAACTGCAGATGAGCATAGACCGTGGATTTTTCTATGTCTGGGCAAACAAAATTGGCACGGCTCGCCTGTCTTGTGGCGGACCCTGTGTGGCCGGAAACTATGCCCCTGTCTGGACAGACGAGCTGTTTCGTTACCAGGTCTTGGGCGCATGGCCTGAGAAGCTTTGGAAGCAACGGAAAGTCACAACGGAGGTGTACAAGGAGTACTTGTACTTGACTAGGGATGGCGTACCAGCCCGAAAACGCAACTTAGACGCTGTCGTGCAAGAAGAAGAAAAGCAAGAGCTTCAGGCCCTCATTGCCAGCAACACGAAGAGAATCAGATCCAATCCTGAACTCTACAAAACGTTTCCGGAAATTGCAGAGGTGACCGCTTGGCTGAAGCTTTTCGAGATGGATGCCTTGCGGTATCCTGTTTTGTTGCTCCTGGGTGCCTCTACGTCTGGCAAGACCGAATATGCCAACTCCTTGTTTCGAAGCCCGTTGGAACTCAAGGTTGGTCCTCTCCTGCATTTCCCTGACGGTTTGCGTGAATTCAATCGGAAGATCCACGATGGCATCATTTTAGACGATGTCCGAGATTTGAGCTTTTTGACGGAGAACCAGGACAAGATTCAAGGCAAATACAATGTACAGCTGGAGTTTGGTGTCACGCCTGGTGGCCAATGTAAATATGAGAAATATCTGTTCCGAATTCCAATTGTAGCGACGTTGAATTACTCCACGCAAAATTTGTCATTGCTGGACACGCATGATTGGCTTTCCAAGGCTGGCAATCGTGTTGTGGTGCATTTCCGTGGTTTTGTTGCTTAATTAGGAACAGGTTGTTTGTCCTCCGAGCGAAAACGTTTGGATTGCTAATGTGTCTCTCTGAAATTCGCTTGCAAGCTGCATGTTAAGATTCCCCAGTCCAGCGTGGTTGAGAAAACAGCAGCCTGAAGCCACTGCTCAGGGAACCGCGGAAAGTGTTTTTGCTGCAGGCGTTTGCACGGGCGGGTGCCATTGGGTTTGTTGTTTCAGGGCCAAACATGTTATCAGCGATTCTGTTCGCATGGAAGAAGTCTGGGGTTTGTGATACGCTGCTTTGTTGTGGCGTGCTTGCAGGTGATGCCGCCCAAAGCAAAGGCAAAGGCAGCTGGCAAGCAGAATGCGCTGCAGGCTGAGGGCTGGTGTTGCTCTGGTGGTTCTGGGTCTAATGTGGGGGGTCCTGTTTTTGGTACCGTTTGCTGCTCCTTGGATTGGCTTCGGAGTTTTGGGCCTCCCCTGTACTATACCCTGAAAACCGTGGAAATTTGCGGAAAAACATGGCCAGCGTATAGCGTATAGTTGGTTCTATTCGATAAAAAAACCCTTAAAAAAAATCTTTCTTAGAATGTAAGCTGACCGGCCAAAATGGATCTCACGCCACAGCGCGGAGCGTTTAGTAGGTATTAAACCGTCTGGCCCGCAGCACCAAAATCGTGTTCTCGCCACAGCGCGGTGGGTTTAGTTGGGCTCTTTGTTTGTACGATTATTTTACAGATTCCATTTGTTTGCGTGACGGGCGCAGCACTTGAGCTGCGCTTGAGAACTCAGTGTGGACATCTTAAACATTGAAGCGTGGCAGCCCTTGAAAACCCCGTACGGCCATCTTTACTTGCATGGCCCCCACATTTGTTTTGCTCCAAGTTCGCATAGTCGAGAACCGGAGTTGCAACAGAGGATGCAAATGCCTTTTTCCCGTCTTGCAGAAAGCGCGCTGTTTTGCGCTAACTTTGCTGTCGCCCCTGCGGGTTTGATTTGCTTGGCATGTACAATACTTCTGTGAAAACTGACAGCGTTTAGTGCAGATTTTGGTGGCAGGTGCGGTATTTACGGCGTGTGTGACACTGAACCTACAGTAGAGAGGGTGAGCGTTTAGTACGACAGTTGTGGCACTACACGCCTTTTACGTGGAAAAAACCAGCAAAACAGGTCCAGCGTGCAGCGTGTAGTGTGAATATATGGTATTGGACCGTCGATGTACGCTGGGATTAGACTGTGTGCACCTCTATTTGGTACGCCGAGGTCTGCCCGAGGCACGCATGGCAGGAGCTACTGTGGAAGAAATCAGCAGCAAAGCGCCGCCAGCGGTTGCTAAAAGCACCCCAACAGCTGCCAAGCTAGGATGTGCGTTTTCCCACAGCGCGGAGCGTATAGTTGATGCACTTGGACTACTATACCCTGAAAACCGTGGAAATTTGCGGAAAAACATGGCCAGCGCAAGCGTATAGCTGGTTCAATTCGATAAAAAAACCTACTAAAAAATCTTTCTTAGAGAAAAAGCTTTTGTTAACACTTACGCTCATGCTAGTGCGTCGCAAATCTGCTTGCAAAACCTCTGCGGGCAGCAGTAAAATTCTCAGATGGCTGACTCCATTTTTGGGTCTAAATCTGAAGAATTGGATCACATTTCATTCCTTCTTTTAGGTCTTTGCTTGGCTCCGTTTTGGGATCCAGATTTGGACCCAAAAATGGGGTCAGCCATCGGAGAATTTTGCTGCTGTCCGCAGAGGTTTTGCAAGCAGATTTGCGACGCACTAGCATGAGCGTAAGTGTTAACACATGCTTTTTCTCTCTCTGCGTCCCACTTTGTTTCTTGTACAGTCGAGGTTCCTTTCTGGCCGCCATGTTTCTACTGGTTTTTTGGATCCTGTTTTGGGAGCCATGATGAAGCAGGTTTGTTGGCATTCGAGGCGCTCCAAGGCTCACCGAGGCCTGCCCGAGGCACGCATGGCAGGAGCTACTGTGGAAGAAATCAGCAGCAAAGCGCCGCCAGCGGTTGCTAAAAGCACCCCAACAGCTGCCAAGCTAGGATGTGCGTTTTCCCACAGCGCGGAGCGTATAGTTGATGCACTTGGACTACTATACCCTGAAAACCGTGGAAATTTGCGGAAAAACATGGCCAGCGTATAGCGTATAGTTGGTTCAATTCGATAAAAAAACCCTACTTAAAAAAATCTTTTCTTAGAATGTAAGCTGACCGGCCAAACTGGATCTCACGCCACAGCGCGGAGCGTTTAGTAGGGTTCTGAACCGTCTGGCCCGCAGCACCAAAATCGTGTTCTCGCCACAGCGCGGTGGGTTCAGTTGGGCTCTTTGTTTGTACGATTATTTTACAGATTCCATTTGTTTGCGTGACGGGCGCAGCACTTGAGAACCCCGTACGGCCATCTTAAAGGTTGAAGTGCGGCTGGATTATGGAAATATACACTCCCGTGCATATTGGTTGCATGTGCTACGTTTCTTGCCTGAAGGTGACAAGGTGGCTACAACATGATGTTCGTGATGGTTTATTTGTACACAGCGTTGGAAATGATGCAGAATGGTTTCAGAACTTCTGGAATTGGTTGAGAAAGCATGAGAATGCGTTTTTGGTGCATGATGTTTTATTTCATCAACTTTGTGGATGAGAATGATGTTTTGGAGAAGAATTCATTTGCCTCAGATGTTATCTGGACAGCAAATGAATTTGGAAGTGCTTTTGATGTGGACGAGTTTGAGGTCAACTTTGTCGTTGTTTTTCAAACACATGTGCATGCGTTTTTCAACAACAACTCCAACCGAAACTTCGTTTTTCCGAGCTGCATTTTATTTCTGGAAGCTGTGAAAGTGTTTTGAGATGATTTTGGACGTTTTTGGAATTTGTCAACAAGATGCGAATGGACGACGTTTATTTTTGTTTGGAAGTGAATTCAAACAAGTTGAATTCACCCAACATTGCGGTGAGAAGTTTGAGAAGAACGTTTACCTTTTGTGCATGCCGCCGCTGCCACTTCAACAGCACGGAACAGCTGAAACAGGAGAAGACCAAACTATGCATGTTGCACGTGCAAGACAACTTAGCTGGACAGACAGCTTGCTTGCTTGTTTCCTTTGTGTTTCCTGTGTGGAAAAGGAACCGAGGGTATTGCAGTGAAGCCGTCGTGTTTTGGGTTTTAACTTGCTAAACGCTCGACGCGGAGTTA